GCCAAATTCAGTTAGCTGTTGAACAGCTAGACTTGCTTGAAAAATTTTTCTAAATCACAAAGGTTTTGAAATATACTCATCTTGCATGTTTAATGCCTAAGCCAAGCTGCTTATCTGAGTTAGTTTGTAGGGAACAAGCCTTAAATTGGCATGTCATAATTTACTGTACTTGTGAAGATTCTAGAAATAAAGCAACTCTTTCAGATATTCTTATCAGGTACCATCAAGTTAACAGTTTGTGTGTTTAAAAAATGATTTTGAAACATTTTGTCTTGTTTTATTTCTGAAATGAAGAAATGTTTTAAAACACATTTGCATTTAGAATCTGGAAACTGTTTGTAATTTCAGGACAGAAGGTTTCAATATTAAATGAACACAAGAGTTACGTCCAAGGAGTAACCTGGGATCCTCTAGGCCAGTACATTGCAACTCTGAGTTGTGATAGGTGAGCTGTTGGTCTAAGTGTTTTGTCTTAGTGCTCTTTCTTACTTGAGGATGAATTAAAAGCAAGTGTATGGGATAAATGTGACTTTTCTTTTAATTTTATTCAGGTTGTTCTGTAGGAAGGTTGATGTGAAATTAAAACGATACTTTAGTTAATCTTTTGCTTGTGGTAAATGATTCCTGAAGTCCGAGTGTCCTCTAAGCAGCAAATAAGCTTACATAAACTTGTGTAGAAATTTTTCTTCAGGAAGTAAGTTTTCATGGTATTGATCATTAGAGATACCAAATACATCGTAAGGGTGCTGCGTTCTCTGGTTGATAATGAGCTAATAAGTTCATCCTTGTTGTTTTACAGAAAGATATAAGCAGGTTAAGAAATCAGTTAAAATGTTTTTCCACTGATATCTTTCTTTTGCCCTCTCGTTCCCTCTATTGCCAACAGCTTTGTAAGTGACATCATTAGGAAAGCAAAACACACACTTCATAAACTTGGCCCTTGTCATAACTTTGAGTTGAGCTTAAACTGTTTAGGGCATGTGTGCTGCTCTGAAGGGTTTGCAGCTGGCTAATAAATGCATGTCATCTGGCACCCGCTGCAAAGAAAATTGCTGTAATAGTGGAAAAGTAGTTTTGATTTAAGATTTGCAGTAGGCCTAGAAAAATGGTAAGTTAATGGTGACTAGGTCATTGTGACCCTCTGCCTTCTGATAATCAATTATGTGAAATTTGTGTGCCTTTATTAAAATGAACAGCAGTGAAACACAAGTAATAGAATGATGCACAAGTTTTTCTTGGAGTGAAGTTGCAAGCGAGGGCATGAACTAATCTGAAGAGGGGAAATCTCCCACCCCCTCAGGTTTCAGACACTTTTCTGCAAACTTAGTGAATAGCATTGGCTCAGCGGGAGTCTAACAGGAGCCAGGCCAGTTGCCAGGACTGGGCAGCCACCAGCCCGGGGTGGGGAGACCTCTTCCTCCTTTTGGCAGACCAGCTTAGCTGTATGACATCCAGAGCCAGTAGTTCCACAACTGTCTCAAACTGTCTGCCACAGCCTTGCCTTCTATTTTCTCTTCCTAGCTCTGTCCAGAACTCTTTGTGGACCTGTTTCAGCACATTAAATCAGCAGAAAGCTGTCTATTTTTTGTGTTACGTTGGTTTTCTGCCAGCCTAACAAGCCAACGTAACTCGGTGAAGGTCAGAGCTGGCAGAAAGGAGGGGGTGGTGGGACGAGCAGTTGACTTTGCTTAGGCTACCGGCTGTTTTAGTGAGATGAAGTCAGGGGAGTTCCAACGTTCTGTACAGAGACGTACTCCAATTTCATTTATTCCAAAGGAAACTGAAGCATAGAGATGTAGCTAATTGTCTTTGAGGTGAGTTCCCACTCCGCAGGAACATAATGGCTACTACAGCACAGGTAGGAATGGCGTGGCTGGTCACTGTCCGCTAATTCCCTCATTCTTCCACGAATGCCTATGCTGGCACTTCGCAAACCTTACTGAGTCAAATAATTGTCAGTGATCCACTGGTTATTTAGCCATCAAAACATGTCCACCCGGTGGTGTCTCCTGAATGGAGTTACAGTTAATGTGTGATTGTCATTTATATTTGGCAGTCCTGACTGAGAAGTGAGGTGCCGTAGTGCTGTGTGAAACTTGGGGTGAAAGGAAGCTGTTCGTAGCTAACTGTGCTCTCCACCATGTAGGGTCCTGCGGGTATACAACACGCAAACCAAGCGTGTAGCATTCAATGTTACCAAGATGCCATCCGGATCAGGAGCTGAAGGAGAGGTACATTGTTCTGCTACTAATGGTACTGGAGAATGCGCTGGGTGCTATTTTATGTGAGTTGTTCTAGTCTATGAAACCAAAGGGGCAAATATTTTCCATTCAAGTAATCACTGTATCAGATATTTTTGTCTCTCTCTCACCTTTGCGTTTTGTAAACAGAGACCGCTTCAGGTTTCCTCGAACATTAAAGAAATGACTAAGAATGAACACTTGCAAGTTCAGCTGATTAAAGTAGTAACACAATGTCTTTGGTTGTAAATGTTAAAAACGGTGTGGAAAAAATATTGTGCATAGTGAATTCTTAATAGGAAAAACTTCAAACATGTCTGTCAGTAGCTGTAAGTTTATTGCTATGTATTATCCATTAATAATATTTTAAAGTCAGCAGCCTGAAATTTTCAAAAAGGTAGTCTGATTTTTAGGAAAAATATGAATTAGTGAAAATTTAGGAAATTCTCTCTAACCCTAAGAGGGAAAACAAAGAGCTTTTTTCCCCCAAACAGTTCTAAGTGATAGTAAAATAACACCTCCAAGCTGGCTATAACCTTTTTAATTCCTTCTATTCCTTTTCTTTTTTTGTGAAAACATTTGTAAGTTTTATAGAGACTAAAAAGAACAGGTGAGAGAGGGTGTTTTGCCATTATAGAAGTTCTCTTTAAACCTCTACTATTAGAGTTAAAAAATGCCTAAGTTCAGGCTTTTACGTTGACTACTAAATAATGTTGTTCTCCAGGTTATTACTATTTTTTGATTACTGGTCTAATGTGACTGCTCTTGGAGTCTTTTGATTAGTAGCTGAAGAGGGATCAAGGACTATTTTTCTTGGCTGTGAAGAATTTATAGCACAGCAGAAAGTGAGTTTGAAGGTGCTGTGGTTTTTAAAACACTTATCTTTTATTTAAAAAGTTCCATCAGGTTGGATTGTACAACTGGATGGTTTTTCTCACTTGAATTCCAGCTGACACGTTCATGGCACTTTGCACAATCATATTTTCAATGTTCCAGGCTAGGAGCTATCGGATGTTTCATGATGACAGCATGAAGTCATTTTTCCGCAGGCTCAGTTTTACTCCTGATGGCTCCTATTTACTCACTCCAGGTATGTGAGAATGTGTACTATAACTTACATTGTATCTGTTATGCTCTAGTTTGAATGTGCATCAAGATTGCTTTCAAACTGCTAGGGGATGCTTATTTGTCTTAATTATGCCATTCCTCATTCTTCCTATTGAAGAAAATAGAGACTCCATATACTCTTCCATTAGTAGTCCAGAATATCAACTTTCTCCTGTGAAAAAAATTATATTTATGGCATTTTTCTGAACTGAAACATGTAAATTGCGACAATACAGCTCTGTTAAAATAGAAATGAAGAATAATGAGCGGTTTCTTTTGAGTGGTTTCTCTTTGTTTGTATCCTTTCTTATGAACATTCTGCAGTCATAGTAAAAATAACATTGCAAGGAGGGGATCAGTTTGCCCATATAAGCACTGCTTTTATAGATGTCTGGCAACATCAAAAAGAAGCTTTGAGGGGGAAGTATATAAGGGAAACAAAACCAGCACTAAATAAATATTTGGGATGCCTTTTTAAGTTGTGTTCAGGTTGCACAGCTCTTGCCCAACTGACAGGCCTAATTCCTGAAATAGAATGTTTATGGACATAAAGTGTGTACTCAGTACCTTTGAGTTGATGAGTAATGTCTTAACCTTTATTTTTGCAGCTGGCTGTGTTGAATCAGGAGAAAATGTAACAAACACCACGTATATTTTCTCCAGAAACAACCTTAAAAGGTAGAGTTTAATAAGATCAAAATATCTTTTTATTAAAAAAAAAAATGCTGTTTTCTGAAATACTGATTCTTTATAAAAGGCCCGTGGGTCACCTGCCATGTCCTGGAAAGGCAACTCTTGCTGTTCGCTGCTGCCCAGTCTACTTTGAGTTGAGACAAGCATTTAATAAAGGTACTGTAAATCCTTCAGGGAGTATGATTTTACAGCAAATATGTGAAAAGGCCAACGTGGCTGTTTACTATTTTATGCCCTAGCCTTTTAACATTCTGTTAAGATAGTGTTGTACCACATCTTAGAAGCTGTTTCCTGATTCTAAGACCCTGAATCCACCTTAAGTACCTTGTGAGTAGCTTTTGATATTGTGGATAAACGTTCTTACTTGGCCTCTTAGGCTACAGAAACACTGTTTAATATTTTTCTTTAACTTTTAACCATCTTGTGTGAGTAAAAGTAACCCCCAAACAGTTCTAAGTGATAGTAAAATAACACCTCCAAGCTGGCTATAACCTTTTTAATTCCTTCTATTCCTTTTCTTTTTTTGTGAAAACATTTGTAAGTTTTATAGAGACTAAAGAACAGGCCTGAGAGAGGGTGTTTTGCCATTATAGAAGTTCTCTTTAAACCTCTACTATTAGAGTTAAAATTAAATGCCTAAGTTCAGGCTTTTACGTTGACTGTTAAATAATGTTGTTCTCCAGGTTATTACTATTTTTTGATTACTGGTCTAATGTGACTGCTCTTGGAGTCTTTTGATTAGTAGCTGAAGAGGGATCAAGGACTATTTTTCTTGGCTGTGAAGAATTTATAGCACAGCAGAAAGTGAGTTTGAAGGTGCTGTGGTTTTTAAAACACTTATCTTTTATTTAAAAAGTTCCATCAGGTTGGATTGTACAACTGGATGGTTTTTCTCACTTGAATTCCAGCTGACACGTTCATGGCACTTTGCACAATCATATTTTCAATGTTCCAGGCTAGGAGCTATCGGATGTTTCATGATGACAGCATGAAGTCATTTTTCCGCAGGCTCAGTTTTACTCCTGATGGCTCCTATTTACTCACTCCAGGTATGTGAGAATGTGTACTATAACTTACATTGTATCTGTTATGCTCTAGTTTGAATGTGCATCAAGATTGCTTTCAAACTGCTAGGGGATGCTTATTTGTCTTAATTATGCCATTCCTCATTCTTCCTATTGAAGAAAATAGAGACTCCATATACTCTTCCATTAGTAGTCCAGAATATCAACTTTCTCCTGTGAAAAAAATTATATTTATGGCATTTTTCTGAACTGAAACATGTAAATTGCGACAATACAGCTCTGTTAAAATAGAAATGAAGAATAATGAGCGGTTTCTTTTGAGTGGTTTCTCTTTGTTTGTATCCTTTCTTATGAACATTCTGCAGTCATAGTAAAAATAACATTGCAAGGAGGGGATCAGTTTGCCCATATAAGCACTGCTTTTATAGATGTCTGGCAACATCAAAAAGAAGCTTTGAGGGGGAAGTATATAAGGGAAACAAAACCAGCACTAAATAAATATTTGGGATGCCTTTTTAAGTTGTGTTCAGGTTGCACAGCTCTTGCCCAACTGACAGGCCTAATTCCTGAAATAGAATGTTTATGGACATAAAGTGTGTACTCAGTACCTTTGAGTTGATGAGTAATGTCTTAACCTTTATTTTTGCAGCTGGCTGTGTTGAATCAGGAGAAAATGTAACAAACACCACGTATATTTTCTCCAGAAACAACCTTAAAAGGTAGAGTTTAATAAGATCAAAATATCTTTTTATTAAAAAAAAAAATGCTGTTTTCTGAAATACTGATTCTTTATAAAAGGCCCGTGGGTCACCTGCCATGTCCTGGAAAGGCAACTCTTGCTGTTCGCTGCTGCCCAGTCTACTTTGAGTTGAGACAAGCATTTAATAAAGGTACTGTAAATCCTTCAGGGAGTATGATTTTACAGCAAATATGTGAAAAGGCCAACGTGGCTGTTTACTATTTTATGCCCTAGCCTTTTAACTGATTCTTTATAAAAGGCCCGTGGGTCACCTGCCATGTCCTGGAAAGGCAACTCTTGCTGTTCGCTGCTGCCCAGTCTACTTTGAGTTGAGACAAGCATTTAATAAAGGTACTGTAAATCCTTCAGGGAGTATGATTTTACAGCAAATATGTGAAAAGGCCAACGTGGCTGTTTACTATTTTATGCCCTAGCCTTTTAACATTCTGTTAAGATAGTGTTGTACCACATCTTAGAAGCTGTTTCCTGATTCTAAGACCCTGAATCCACCTTAAGTACCTTGTGAGTAGCTTTTGATATTGTGGATAAACGTTCTTACTTGGCCTCTTAGGCTACAGAAACACTGTTTAATATTTTTCTTTAACTTTTAACCATCTTGTGTGAGTAAAAGTAAATAACTTGGCTTAGCACTAAAGGAGTGGCCCAGTGAAATGTTTTCTGTTAGTCTCAACTACCTGCATCACAGAAGCACCAGAGAGTTGGTGTAGTTTGCAACAACCATTGCTGTTTATTCAAGGAAGCCAAACCTGAAGCAGTGCTGGTGTTACTGGCCGGAACAGGAGTTCCGAGGTGGGGAAAGGATTGTATGAAGTTGCATGAGAACTTACCCGGAGATTGAAATCCAGCCTTATTGTGAGCCCAGTGGGTCCAGGAGTGTTTATATTTTAACAAGACCAGTCTTACTCTGGTGAAAAGGCAGAGCTTTGCTCCTTTCTTTAGAGGGTCAATCTGTAGTATTCCTTACAGGATTTAGAGATCACCTGTTGTTGTGTTCTGTTATTTTCATTGTCATCTTTAGATCCATCATAATAGTGTGTTGCAAAGTAGGGAGATGAGTGTCTGCTGTTGGTCTCTGTAGCTCCTCTAAACGGAGTGTTTAGTTTCTGCAACATACACCCAGAGAAGTGAAAATCTAAGACAGTCTAGAAATCTATAGATATGAGTATGTTACATTATGTTAATGTTAATGGCCTCTCTGTTTCAGTGTGCAGCTTCCATAATCACTGTAGAGCTGAACGGGAGCCCTGTATACTAGGAATTTCTGAAAGCAGCTAGCTAGCACTCAGCTTCCAGTAGAAGTTGGAATAATCTGCCCTTACAAAGAACTCATGTTGCAATGATAAGACTAGCTAGGAGCTGAACCCAAGATAACACAAATAGAGCTATATCCATTGTTTTGACTGAGTCATACAGAATATAATGTGGTGGTATAAATTTGTCGTGACCTTGATTTACACTATATCCTAAGGTGTGTTTGGACTTTTATACTCAAGTGCATATAAATATGCTGAAAAATTTCAGCTGGAAAATATATGACAAACTTTACAAAACAAAATAATAGCAATCCAGATGGACAAATTCTGGCCAATTTCTCTGTCTTAAGCTAAGGCAATAGAGGGCAAACTTCAGGCAACAGAATTGTTAGTGCTTGACATTAAACTTTACATTTTATAGAAGCGCTGTCTTCTCAGCTGTTACCTTGATACTGATTAATAATGAAATCTTTATTTAGATTCATGACTAAGCTAGTGCAGTTACTACCTTGCAATTAATAGAAAAGAGAATTCTCAATGTGTTCATTTCTTTGCATTCTAGATGAAATCAGTCAGAAATCAGCTCCTGCTCTATTTAATCTTCCCTATCGATTGGTGTTTGCTGTTGCTTCAGAAGATTCTGTGCTTTTTTATGATACTGAGCAGTCCTTCCCCTTTGGTTATGTTTCTAACATACATTATCACACCCTGAGTGACATTTCATGGTAGGTAATTGTTATATTGTTAAGATTTGTTGTGATGGAAATGTCCCTTTTACATGTTGAAGTTCTGCACACCAGAGAGATTAAATCAGATGCGAAGGCCAGAATTGAAGATCTTTTGTTCATTTGGATTGGATATCTTTCACTTGACTGCAGTTTTATTTAAATGTATACATGTACTTGGGGAAGGGATGAGGAAAAGTCAGGTACAGCATGTGTTATAGATGGGAGGGTGAGGGTTGAAGAAAAGTTCTGACCTTTCCTCTTAATGGAAAAAAACAAATCACAAATAGGTCCAGCGATGGAGCCTTTCTTGCTATTTCTTCCACGGATGGATACTGTTCATTTGTTACCTTTGAGAAGGATGAACTGGGAATACCATTGAAGGAGAAGCCACAGATAAATGTCAGGACTTCTGGTGCAACAGAGAAGAAAGTGAAAAAGAGCCAGTCGCACAAAGTCATTTCCCCAGGCTCTAGGCTGACAGAGGGGACTCCTCCCAGCAGGGCCACTGATCCCAGCACTCCCACCCTCCAACCTAGAACACCCACAGCTGCCGGTAAGGACTTGCCTTCCACACCTGTTGGCATAAAAAATGTTCCAGTCTCATCGTCAGATGAGAGGAAGATCAGCCAGCCAGCCAGCCAGAGCACTAAAGTAAACCAGCCCAGGAGGATTACTCTCAACACTTTACAAGCATGGAGCAAAACACCAAGGTGAGATTTATATTGCCATTTCCAGTCATAAGTATGAAGGCCAAGACAAGCTGTGCTTGGGCTACGTTTAAAGGGTTGGAGTTTAGACATAAATTCCCATCCCTGTGTCTTGGTTGTAACTGTCTTGACATGGAACTTTTTGTTCCAGTTATACTGTAGCTGAAAGGTCAAAATGTTTCCTGAATCCTAAATATACAGCTTTTATATATCTGTCTGAAATGTGAGGTGGTAGCAAAGTTAACCTGACCATTGCGCCTTGTCCATGTGGCAGCAACAGGTGTCTGTCTTAAGGTCCCATTTTCTGTGCAAAGATGGTACCTGAAGCCTTCAGCTGACAAGAGCTATTTAAAGACTTTTCTGACAAGAAATATTTTAAGAAGTAAAGAGTGCAAGTCTAGACAGGCCCTCAGTGTTGCACAGTCATGGGTGTGGGACTTAATGCATTGATTGAGGTTATTTCCTAAGGTGAAGATCTAGGTTTTTAGAAGTTGCCTGTAAGCCATGTATTGATTGTCAAACAGCCTGCAATATAAGATCCTGAGCTGGTGTGCAACAGTAAGGAGACAGCTGTGCAATTAGAGATCTAGACCTTGTCAGCAAAACAAGGCTATTTTATAATTAAAGGAAATTATTACAACTTCTCATAGGAATGTTTTAATTAGTAGGTGGCTAGGGAAGAAGTGATGAACGAGAAAGCAGGATAGTAGATTATATCCACAACCGCAAAGAAAAATCTTGGAGATGATGGCTTTCTACACACGGCTGTTCATCTGTACTGGAACTAACAAGTCAAAGGGTTGTAGGTTGTTGAAAGTGACTTTTGCCTGGAGGGTGAGGTGACTGATGGAGCTAATTAATCTTTTTCTTTTGGAGAGAGAGAGAACCTGTATTTAATCGTATCAACTGATTATGCCATGAGTGTCATCTTGTAGTAGCATGCATGGTGCTACTTGTAAGACTTTTTTTTTATGGTTCAATCCTCTGCTGCTTTTGTGCTTAATTTAAGTGCCATCCAGAAGAGATTTAGCAGAAGAATATAGATTTGCAGTAATTGTTAGTGGACCTCAGCGGGCAAAATAATTCCCTAGAGTTTTATGAATCTAAAATGTTAACATGGACAGGGCTAGGGAATAGTAAGCTCTTCCAGTGGAACTGGAAGACTTACCAGGTGCCAAGAAACAGGTTAAAATCCCTGCCTTTGCAGCCAGTCTTAATTTTAAAATATTTGACCAAGACACTGTGCTCTGAAGGTGAGTATCAAGCATCGTGCCACGTATAACATATGCAGAAGTACTTTCTAGTGGAAAAGATCACTAGTGGTATTTAAAGTACTTCTAAAAAATGCTCTGTTCAATATATAACAAGAAAAAAATGCGTAATAAAGTATATCTAAACTACATTTAAATTTAACTGATTCTATCTGACGTAAATCTTTAAATAAAGTATTTGTGGAAATGATGGCTTTAAAGCAATTGAACTGTTTCTGCTCTTTTAAAGGAGAGTAAACTTGATTCCACTGAAGCCAGATACGCCAGCCTCTGCATATACAGATACAGTTCCTTTACCTCCTTCCTCAGAACAGGAACATGGTAAGCTTTTGTGGCTGCTAATATCCAGCAAAGTCTTTTGCCAATCAGTTCTTTCCATGATAGACTTCTGTAATAAGCTATAAGCTTATAACACAAGCACAGTCAAGCACACACCTAAACCTAGTTGCAGATTCTAAAGCTTCTTCATTGTCTTGGTGTGTTTGAAAGGTGCTTTTGACGATATGAAATGTGTTCTCACTGTGGTTGCTCTTGGGCAGCTGCTTATGTGACAATATGTCACTACAGTTTTCATAGTAATGGGCACATTAGCTGACACTGAAACCAAGAAGAGTAAATTCATTTGGATGTAATGTCCTCCAAGTCCTACAGGTGAGTTTTAAAGACCCTTGTACTTTCAGCACATCATTGTTTCAGATGCTAGACTCTCAAACCACGGTTGGTTTTTTTTTTGGTGAGTGCTGCATTGTTTGTGATTCAGCAAACCAATTTACTTTCTTAATCTGGATTTACTTAGCTCAAATGATTTTCCTGTCTGCCTGTTTCAGAGAGGCCATTACCGTCTGATGACAGCCTTCAAAATCCCCCAGCATCAAAACGTCCTAGAACTGAGGAAATGTCTCTTTCTGCATCTGCTGAAGATCAAATCAGTTGCGATTGAAAGAAATAAAGCCTAAGCTTTTAGTAGACTCTTCACAGTCTGAAGGTGATGCAGCTGTATCTGAGAGTCCTTTTCTTTTTGCAAATGTTAAAGCCTCAATTCCTGATTAAAGTACCATATGCATATTTGACGTAGTGCTGTGAAGAAGGAGGCTGGCAGTAGAAGATGCAGGTTTCAGGAATTTGTAGCTTTGCAGAAGACATAGTTGGGAAGTGACTTCTAAT